GCATGTGGGGCGACCTCCTGTGCTGGGAGGTGTGGGGAAGGTACCTGGTTGCCGGCAAGAGCTATACCGAGAAAGAACAGGAAGGTCTGGCCTAACCTAAGGTTCCAGCAAATGTGGAAGTGACCGTCCCCCGGGGGAGTGAGGTGGGGCCACGTTCTACGGCATCAGGCAGTGGTGGGGGCCCGGGACTGGCTGCCCGGCCACACGGGACAGGCCCGGCCCTTAGCTGGCACCATTTTAAGCCTCTCGCTAAAGAGTCGGGAGGCGGGGGCTTCAGCTTAGGTGGGATCCCTCTCACTTCTGGGCCCTAAACAGTGGATGGACGATCAAGAGATGCAGAGATGCATCTCTAGGGTGATCAAGAGATGTGTCTCTAGGGCAGCCCCGGTGACTCAGCAGTGTAGCACCGCCTTCAGTCCAGGGTGTGATCCTGGAGACCCAGGATCGAGTCCCACATCGGGCTCCCTGCATGGAGCCTGCTTCTCCCTCTGCCTGTGTCTCTGCCTCTCTCTCTGTGTGTGTCTCTCATGAATGAATAAATAAAATTTTTAAAAAAAGAAAAACAAAAGAGATGCGTCTGTAGGAAATCTGCAGGATGGTGTGTGTTTCCTCCCACGGTTGAGGTCAGACTTTCTAACTATATGAAATGAGGTGGTACTTGACAGTCTGACAGCCCTGGGTCTGAATCCTGGCTCTGCTGCTTACGTGTGACTTTGGGCAAGAGACTAAGCCTCCCTGGGCCTCACTTCCATCGACACATGGTGCAAAAACTCATTGCCTTGAAGGTGACGAGAGCTAATCTATGCAAAGCACCTCGCACCGGCTCTGTACCTGCGGATTCAAGTTCAGGAGGCAGTTGCTATTCTTAGACGTATGAGAGGATGTTTGAGGGGGTCCGCGTGCTGCAGCGCCCACCTTGTCTGGAGGCGAGGACTCTTGCTCAGGCTTAACCTCCAGGATGTCTCTGCCCACCAATGGGTCCAGGAGCCTCTCTGTACCAGGAGAGGAGGGGAGACTGGGTGGGAAACAGAAGAGGCCACAGCTCTGGGGCCTGTGCAGCCTGGAGCCTGTGTTTGAGCATCCGCATTCCGAAGGAGTTAGGAACCGAGGAGAGTGTCCCCAAGAGAACCCGTGGGAGCTGTCCCTCACAGTCCAGCTGGCGAAATGTGGCAAGAGCTGGGGCACACCCAGGGCCCCCTGCCCCCCTGGGGTACATTCTGCAGTGCTGCTGCTTGAGGACTGGGGGCTTTGAGAGAAGCCGGGGTCAGCCCGCCTGGCATGGATGCTGGCAGGTGCTGGTGCTCCTCTGACGGTCCTCAAGGGCCCCGGCCGTGGCAAGATGGATGGGGAGGATGGGGAGTGTGCCATTGAGGACCACGGCTGCCAGAGTCGATGCAGACACGGCAGGGGAGGGGGTCCCTTAGGAGAGTCACAGAAGCAGCGCAGGTGTGGTGGGGGCCAGGGTTCGGTGGAGTTTGACCCAGGCTCCAGAATGAAGTGGCGACGGCTTAAGCCACCATAAAGTGGTCAATAAAGTAAGCGACTTTATTTTGTAGCCGCAGGCTGGTGATGTTGGGACGTCCGTGTGACATGATGAAATCGTGCAAATGCATGTTTTTAGCTGAATGAGGTTCAGTCATTTGTTTATTCGTCAATAGCACACCCAGCCGTTCTTTTAACGACACACATTCCAAGTGTACTGTCTGTGCCGGGCCCCCTTCCGGGTGTTAGGTCCCCAGGCTCCAACAAGCCAGAAGGAAGGAAGGAAAAAGAAAAAGCACAAAATCCCTCCCTCGGGTTGACAAGAGCAGACCCATGGGGCCGGCGAGGCCTTCGTTCCAGAAGCCAGTACAGATGCTCCTGCTTACAGATGTGTCCTGGACCAAAGGCGCTCACCTTACAGTTACTTGGCCTAAGCTCTATTTAAATAGAGAAGATGCCCGAGGGCATGACAGGTGAATCCGAAATGAGAGCATCTTTTTTTTTTTTAAGATTTATTAATGTATTTAATTTACTCAAGAGAGAGGATGGCGGGGAAGGGCAGAGCAGAGGGCGAGGGACAGAAGCGGACTCCTGGCTGAGTGCAGAGCCTAATGCAGGGCTGGCTCTCGGGACCCCGGGATCGGGACCTGAGGCGAAGCCAGGAGCCCTGGAAACTACAGCATCTTTTAAACATTAATTAAACAGAATGTGGGATGCCCGGGTGGCTCAGCGGTTAAACGCCTGCCTTCAGCCCAGGGTGCGATCCTGGAGACCCGGGATCGAATCCCACGTCGGGCTCCCGGTGCATGGAGCCTGCTTCTCCCTCTGCCTGTGTCTCTGCCTCTCTCTCTCTCTCTCTCTCTCTCTCTCTCTCTCATGAATAAATAAATAAAATCTTTAAAAAAAAGTTAAACAGAATGCGAAGGGCGTTAGCTTAGGCACTGTGCTTTCACACACAGCCCGACATGTATCCACACGTACGTAATCCTGGTGAGGTCTGCGGTTCCAGACGGCGCCGTCTGTAGGCGAGTCTGACCCACAGATCGACACAGGTCCTCTCGAGGGCGATGACGTTGGCTGGGGTGGCATCACTGAGAGCCTGCGAGGTGCCAGGCATTGCTCTGAGAGCTTTCCATGTGAAAAGTCATTAATCATCAGGAAAACCCCAGAGGTGGGTAGTATCATCCCCACATTACAAGTGAGGAGATTAAGGCACGGGGAAAAAAAAGAGAGTCATTTGCCCAAAGTCACAAAGTGACTTCTTACTGGGTAAGAAAAAGCAAAGGCAAAATTTAAGCTCAGGAAACTGGGTTCTTGGGCTCCGGAGTTCCAGGCTGTGCTCTTAGCCCTGCTGTCACACTGCCTAATCGATCTGAATAATGCACATCTTTACCCCCAGGGTTTTTTTAAAGGGTAATCTAAGGGTCTTAAAATAATCAGATTCCCAGAAATCCTCTCTGGACTTCTTTTTTTAAAAATAATAAATTTATTTTTTTATTGGTGTTCAATTTGCCAACATATAGAATAACACCCAGTGCTCATCCCATCAAGTGTCCCCCTCAGTGCCTGTCACCCATTCACCCCCACCCCCCTCCTCCCCTTCCACTACCCCTAGGTCTGTCTCCCTTTCTGATATTTCCTACCCATTTCTTCTCCCTTCCCTTCTATTCCCTTTCACTATTATTTATATTCCCCAAATGAATGAGACCATATAATGTTTGTCCTTCTCCGATTGACTCTCTGGACTTCTCTCTCCCTGGATCGTGTTCATAGAAGCCGCCAGGCACCGCTGCTCACTGATGAGCTCCCTCTGTGGCCCTCTGTCCCCTCCTGTCCTTTCGGCTCCAGGCCTGCCCGAAGCTGTCTCTGCCAGAAGTGGAGACCAGAACATCCTCTCCTGCCTTCATGGCACCCCCAGTCTGCCTCGGAATCGCTGTGCCCTGGGCAGCCCCCGGTCCCATGAAGGAAACCACACAGAGGTCAGGAGCAGTACAAGCTCCTGCTTTGCTCGGACCACTTTTTTTTTCCAAAATGCATCATGGGAAATTCCTCACTAGCAAAATCCCTGCTGCATCACGTGCACGTGTCGGTATACATATGACCAGATACGTATGTATATACGATTTTTTAAAATGCGTGTTCTTAGGTGTGATAATGTCTTTGTGGCTTTGTTTTTTGAAGCTTTGGAGGGCATGATGCATGACATGGGCCTGGCAGGTAGCAGGAATTGGTGAAGAAGGTGGCAAGAAGGGAGAAAATGTGCCAGGAGACCGACTTATAATCAACAGTCATTGGGGGATTTTCCTGGGGCTGCTGGAGAAGCTGAAAAGACAGATGTGGGTTTAAATCCCTGGAGAAGGGACCCCTGGGTGGCTCAGTGGTTGAACATCTGCCTTCGGCTCAGGGCGTGATCCCAGGATCTGGGATCGAGTCCCACGTCAGGCTCCCTGCATGGAGTCTGCTTCTCCCTCTGCCTCTCTCTCTCTCTCTCTCTCTCTCTCTCTCTCTCTGTCTCTCATGAATAAATAAATAAAGACTTTTAAAAAAATCCCTGGGGGAAGCTCACCAGTGGCAAGGCTGCCCCGAGGGACAATGTGCTGTCTCCGGGATTCATACGGAAGCCTCCACTCCATGTGCACCCAGAAGGAGGAGACACTCACCTCTCAAGGGTTTAATAGGAGAACCTGAAACACTTAATAGGGAAGGGAGTGGAGCCTATATCCCCATTCATGGAACAAACACTTGTGCTCAGCACCAAGATGTGAGGGACACACGGCTGGAATAAGCCTGAAGCTGAGAATCTCACGAGACCAGGTGGGAATCAGGATTCTTTCTGTAGCCCCCCTCTGCAGGTGACAATGATATGATGACAGGGTCGTACGATTTCATAGAGGTCCTATTCCTTCTGGGTGGATGGCCCTCGCAGCTCTACTTTCTAACAACCCCTGGAGTGTGAGCCCTGGGTTGCAGCCACCCTCCTGTTCCTCACTGCTGGTGGCATCAGCTCTCAGGGGTACAAGGGATGCTCAGGGGGACGCAGACACCCACGGATCGAGGGTCACATCACCCACCAGACTCTCACTGCCCCATAGGGCAGCTCTTTGGAGCGTCAAACGTATGTGATCTTTTTGGGAGTTTCCAATAAGAGGAAGAGTAATACTTCCTGAAGGACACCCCGGAATACTGCGGAGCAGACACTTAGAGGAAACAATGGAATTAGAGCCTCTCCGAACTCTTCCTTTCTCCAATTGGACAGCCCATGGGAAAGTTTTATGTAAATGTCACAGGGAAAGGGTCATGTTTATTGCTTCCCAGCCACCACCTATAATAAGATCATTAATAGGACAGGATAAAGCTCCCCGGGCACCCCAGTCCCGATCGCTGGTCCAGGTCAGTGCCCGGAACAGAGTGGGTGCTCAGTAGATGGTGTCAACGAGATGGGCCAGGCCACAGGGGACTAGTGGGCCAGGCCCCCAGGGCCCCCCGGCCCCCCAGGGCCCCGTGCCCAGCCCCACCGGTCAGGCCCAGTCCTGCTCTCCGCCTCTGTGCGCCTCACCCTCAGTGTCTCTGCGGCCCGGGCCATCCCCACGGGGGGTTCTGTGGCCCACGTAGGAGCAGTCCCTGAGCTGGGGCACCGCCCTAGGACAGCGGGGGCCCCTTCTGCGCCGGGGACAGCAGCGCAGTCCCCCGGGCGGGCAGCGGCAGCGAGCCTGGGCGGCCCACACGTAGGCGCCCACGGGCAGGGTGAGCAGCACGGCGCTCAGCACCACGGCCACGTGCAGGAGGCGCTCCCGCGCGGCCAGCTCGCCCTGCGCCCGGCCCGTCACGAAGACCACACAGCGGCCCCTGCGGGCGGGCCGGCCCTCCAGGCTGAGGCACGCCTCGTACTTCGTGCTGGGCCGCAGGTCCTCCAGCCCGTACGTGTTCACCCCGGGGCCGATGTGCACCACCTCGGGCCTGAGCGTTGCATCGGACGCGATGTAGAGGGTGAACCACGGGTCCCGGGGGCCGTCAGCCACCACAAACCACTCCAGCAAAATCCCGCGCACCGTCTGTCTGACCACCCGCAGGTCGATGTAGGCCTCACCCTCCGAGGGCAAAGGAGGGGCGCGGGCAGTGGCTGGGGTCTGGGCGGGCTGCACGTGGAGGGCGATGACCAGCGCGCTCCGGCCCATAGAGTTGGAGGCCACACAGGTGTAATTGCCTCTGTCCACCAGGTGGGCTGCAGGTATGACCAGTTCGGACAGGGCGGTGTCTTCTGCAGCTGACGAAGTCAACACTGGGTGGAGAGAGAGCGAAAGGGCTCTGAAGGGCGCGTCCCTGCTAGAAAGCTGGAAGGTGCCCAGCAACACCCGTTCTTTGCTTTTTTCCTGAGCTGGAGGTGACCGCCTACCAAACTTACGTTCCTGGTATTGGCCTCTCAGCAACCCTATAAGGTAAGTACCCCCTTTTTACTCATAACAAGTTGAGGACTGGAGTGATTCAGCAACCTGCCCATAGAGACACGTGCTCAGAGGCAGTGGCCGTCCTGGAACCTCATTCTTCTGCCTACGAAGACCACACTTCCAGCTCCACTCGTGCTCCAACCAAACCACCAGAAGCCTCGCTGAGCTAACAGCATGGTTGGGGACAGATCTCTAGCAACCGTGGGATGTTGTGAGCTTCGAGAATCGCCTTCCTGGGGGCTCCTGAGTGGCTCAGTGGGTTAGGTATTCAACTCTTGGTTTTAGCTCAGGCTGTGATCTCGGGGTCATGAGATCAAGCCCCAAGCTGGGCTCCATGCTCGGCAGGGAGTCTGCTTCTCTCCCTCTCTCCCCCTCTTCTGCTTCCCCTCTCTCCACTCATGTGCGCATGCTCACTCTCTCAAAAAAAAAATAAATAAATCTTTAAAAAGTTGTTTAAAAGAATTGCCTTTTTAGCTCCCAGGTGCAGAAAGGCTCAGAGCCTTGAGCCAAATGCCTGGATTCTATCCCTTACTAAGAGTATGGTGCTGAACCAGTTGCTTAGATTCTCCTGGCCTCGATTTCCTCATCAGTAAAACGGGATGATAATAGTAAGTTTGTTAGTAAGCACTCGGTGTAAGCTGTTGTCATTACTGAGAGAATAATATAACACGGTACCAAAGGCACTGACTACAGACCATTAAAAAAGACATCTACCTGCATCTCACTGTTCTTCAAGATGCTATGATAATAAATCCTACATTTCTCCTTCATTAGTATTTAATCTCAACCCAATAAGATGTGATTGAAATGATAGGAAAAACTCAACAGTTCAGTTCCTTAGGTATTTTTTTAATCTTCCAGCGGCTTATCACCATGCATAACAGATATCTAGGTAACTGACTGTATTTCTCAAGCTTTACTCAGATAGGTCTAGCTGTCTTCTAGACAACTTTAAGATATCCCAAGGGAGACCATTCCTGTCCCAACCCTGCAGGGTAACATTAAAGGGGATTCCAGCTGAGGTATGAAAACACACCATAGAGTTTCAGGACATGAGAGGCGGGTCTGAATCCCAGTGATGGGGCCCGTGGAGGTCACTTCCTCACCTGGGTCCCAGGATTACAACTTCAAGCCAGTAAGGTCTGAACCACAGAGTGGTGGGAAGTGTAAAATTCAGTCAACATCTAGGAATTCCCAACCTTGCCCAATGGTAAGAATTACTTGGGGAAAGGAGCAGGGGAGAAGGGAGAACACTTGTTAATAGGCGTTAATCTCAGGCCCACCCCTGGACACAGGAAATCTGAATCTCCAAGGCAGGAGCCTGGAGATTTTATTTCAAACAAGTACCCCGGTTGGGTCTGCTCCAGCAATTTTAGGCAATCAATAATAGATGATCTCTAGAATCAGTCCTGGTCAGAAATTCTATGACTTAAGAACATACAGTGTAGTATTTTGCATCTAGAACACTCTTAAGGAATCTATCTATTCATATGTAATTTATAATATTTATACAATATGTTAAGTCTACTATAATATATATTTACATATATATAAATTATATATAATATATAATATAATTTATATATAATTATATATTTTATATATATGTATATCCCATAGAGGTCTGTATGCAACATTTAAAATCATTCCAGATGGTGGAACACTGTCTTGGAAACTTCCCCGTTGTGGTGGGTATAATTCAGGCCGAGCCCAATCTTACCCGCACCCTCACATCACGATTGACCCAGTTTAGAACCTCTCTATTGAGGAGAGAGTTGCTGTGGACCTCACCATTTCCCCCAGATACACTGAGAGGGCGCACGTGGCTTACCATCAAATTCCCTCCACATGCTCAGGGGATAAGTCCATGCAATGGTTGGTGAAGGGCTGGCCTGTGCCAGGCATCTCAGGGTCACATTATGTCCCATCTGGACGGTGACACTGGCACTGGGGGTAGAGATCTGTGGCTTCCTGCAAGCACTGAGCTCAGTTTCATGAAAAAGCTGCCCAGCCTTGGAGAGAGGGTGTTGGCACATCAGGTAGGAATTCACCAGGATGACTGGGATGCTGATGGAATTCACAAATTGGACAAATCCCCTCAGGCGACAGTCACATAGCCAGGGATTGTTGTGCAGTGCCAGCACGAGGATGGGGACAGTCTTGGCTCCACAGCCAGGCTGCCGTTGTTTCCAGTAGGCCAGCCAGTTCAAGAAGACACTCTTGGACACAACCGTAAGCCTATTGGAGGATAGGTCAAGGTAGGTCAGGTTGACCAAGAACTGAAGCGCTAGCTCGGGAAGCGCATCAATCCTGTTGTGCTTGAGATCCAACACCCTCAGGAGAGGGGTGGCTTGGAATGCTGTCCATGGTACTGAGCGGAGCTTGTTCCCCTCCAGTCTCAGCTCTTTTAGTTCTGACAGGTGCTCCAGGGCTCCCAGGTGTATCACAGTGATGTTGTTAAAATTAAGCCAAAGGTGTTCCAAAGTGCTCATGTTGATGAAGGACCCTCGAGGTAGTTCATATAAGGGCGAATTTTCAATCCTCAACCACTTTAACTCTTCAAGAAGGTTCCTTGGGATCTTTCCCAAAGAGATAGACATACACTGCAGAGTCCTGTACAAGAAACCACAAATGCTTTAAGATGAACATCAGTGGGGCGCCTGGGTGGATCAGTCAGTTAAGCCACTGACTCTTGATTATGCTCAGGTCATGATCTCAGGGTCCTGAGATCGAGCCCCACATTGAGCTCCCAGCTCAGCGGGGAGTCTGCTTCACCTCTGTCTCACACTCTGCCCCTCGTCCCACCCATGCATTCTCTCTCTCTCTCTCAAATAAATAAATAAATCTTTTCAAAAAATATAAACATCAGAGAAGTGAGATTAGGTTTATTCTGGCATTAGAGGTATGAGTTCAAAGAAAAAATATATGTTATTCACTTGAAATAAGAGACCCATATGGGTGAAAGTGCACAGTTCTCCAAAGTTCAGAGCCAACTAGAGATTTCACTGATTTCCTGCCACATCTAGGCCTGGTCCCACTCCACATCACCCCCAAAGAGAGCCCATCCCCTACAACCCCCTGGCATCTTGTTAGCAGAGCGCACCTGCCGAAACTGTCCTCTGAGCAGGTACATCCTGGCTGACAGGATGGCTGAGCGGCATTTGAATCCAGAAAGACCAGGACTAGCAGGAAATAGTGAGAAACTGAAGCCATACTGCTCTGCAAGAAACTACCTTGCAAGTTTTCAGTAAGTGTAGTCTAGGCTTTTGAGTGGCAAATCCTATTACTGGTAATCCGTGGTGATGCAGGTCAGCACAGCAGTGACAAAGCCCCTGTATGCTCTGTTATGGCCTAGATCACAAGCTCAACAGAACCACGAGGAAGGAGCTATATCTCTTAACTAAGGTCACAAAATTCACCCTTTGTCTGGTTCTTGAGTCTAGAAAGCAAACTCTAAGCCAGTTCTCCTACTCAGGACTGATACCACCTTCCCTCAGTTTCTTACAGAATGATCTGAGAAACAGGCAGGTAATACTATCCTGAACACAACAGTTTGAGTTATTTGGCCAGAATCCATCTAATACTTCATCTACACAGTTGACTCCTGAAGGCTAGAATTTTCTTTTTCTTTCTTTCTTTTTCTTTCTTTCTTTCTTTCTTTCTTTCTTTCTTTCTTTCTTTCTTTCTTCTTCTTCTTCTTCTTCTTCTTCTTCTTCTTTCTTTCTTTCTTTCTTTCTTTCTTTCTTTCTTCTTTTTAAAGATTTTATTTATTTATTCATGAGAGACACTCAGAGAGAGGCAGAGACACAGGCAGAGGGAGAAGCAGGTTCCCTGCAGGGAGCCCCCAATGTGGGACTCGATCCCACAACTCCGGGATCACGCCTTCAGCTGAAGGCAGACACTCGACCGCTAAGCCCCCCAGGCGTCCCTGAAAGCTAGGATTTTCACCCACTCTCTAGAAGTGAATGCAGATTGGGGGGTAACGAGATGTGACCACTCGCATCACTGGCTTTCTCCGACGCCTGTGATGGATTCACTACTGTACTGCACTAAGACGGCTACCTCTGCCACTTGGATGAGCGGGGTTAGAGAAGCATCACAGTACAGAGGTTTTCTGAATGAGTTAAAGTGTGTTTCTTATCCTGGATCTCACAACTTGCCCTGAATGCTGTGTATTTCACATGATAAAAATGAAGGACTTATGTTTTATGTGATTTGGGGTACTTATTCAACAAATATTTATTGGCCATCTACTCTAAGCCACACACTTTCTGGGTGCAAGGAATCACTGGTGGGCAAAACTTTATAGACCCTTTGCCATGGGGTCTTCTCTCTAGCTTATTCTTCCTTGTCTTGAAATCTTTGGAAAGTCACTCAACGTACATGAGTCTCAGTTTCTCTTATGCAAAGTAATGAAATTAATAAATAGTTCATAGTGTTTCTAGGAAATTTTGAGGCTATATAAAGTACCTAACGTACATGAGTTATGTTAATTCCCTTCCTACACCAACAGACTTGAAGAGCAACAAAGTCGGCTTCCTTATTACTTACGGTACTTCCTGGTGAATATGGACATTCCTTGGGTTCTCCTAATACTCATAATATACATTATACCCTACAAAAGGCCTAAAGGAAGAAAATCCGCTTAGTAGTTAGCCAGGGATGGGGGAAATGGGTCATCAACTAAGCTGATTACACTCCAGGCTTTTCATCCATGCCAGATGTATTTGAATTTCTTGTCAGTTCCACAATCTGGCCAGATCTCTGGATTTCCTCTCAAGCTAAAAATCAAAACAAAGAGAGTGCAATGGGTACAAAGCTTGTGCTAGACATGGAGATGTGCAGCCTTAGACCCCTTTCAAGGCATGTGTTGATGCTCAGCTGCAAAGATTGCTTGCATGAGATCATGCCCTTCCCAAAGCAACTCATATACAGCAACTGAGGGTGAAGAGAGCCCAAGGGCCCAGCTAGTTTGGCCTGATGGGGTGAGGAGACAACTCTGATCTCACTCCTGAGACTTGTACCATGGTGCCCAAGATTTGTTAAGCTTGCCTTTTTGGGGAAAAAAATGTGATTCAATTCACTGCAGGGCAACCCATTAATGAATTCTTTTCTCACGTCAAACTATAAGGGCCTAAAGAGATCTCCATCCCCCACATTTTTTCCTCTGTTCATCCCACGCTATCCTCTTCAGATGAATCCAGGTGAACCTAACCTTCTGGTGATTTGCGGAAAGCTTGAGAAGAACATCCACTGGCATGTCGTCTCTGGAATTATGCTGACCACTTCTGCATTGCTCCTTCTTCTCTCCTGACCCCCTCATCTTCTGGTCTCTTTCTTTGTTTTTTGTTTTTTTTAAAGATTTATTTATTTATTTATTTATTTATTTATTTATTTATTTATTTATTCATGATAGAGAGAGAGAGACAGAGAGGCAGAGACACAGGAGGAGGGAGAAGCAGGCTCCATACCAGGAGTCCAACGTGGGACTCGATCCCGGGACTCCAGGATCGCGCCCTAGGCCAAAGGCAGGCACCAAACCGCTGAGCCACCCAGGGATCCCCTGGTCTCCTTATTTGGCATATGAATGCAGGGGTGTAGCTGTGTTGTCAATTAAGGCGAGAGACTGGTGCAATTAAAGCTGGGTTGTGTCATTTACTTTGAACAACTAGTGATTAAGTGGTGTCCCTAAACTCAAGAGATTTAACAACAAGGGGAAGGGGTTTGAGACTATGACACACCCATGTCCCTTCCTGAAGGATGTTTTCAAGAACTTGGCTTAGAATTTTTGGTAGAGAAGAGCCATGGGGGGGGGGGTTCACTCTGTTTATGACACGATTATATATAAAAGATAGAAATGGCTTCCTGCTGATGGCTCCCTGGCACATCTTAATAGAACCTTATTAAGACAGTTTTCTATTCAATTGGAAAATGCTACCCCAGGGTTGGAAGAACTTTGGGGCAGTTCAGACAGAGAGCCAGGTGACATATCGGGGAGCAGACGTGCTGTCTTTCCTCTTTCTCAAGCTGGTGCTCTTCCCTGGCTCCTCCCTCTGCTGCCAACCCCGTCTGAGGTGTCCTCCTGGCTATGCATGCTCTGTGGCCTGCCTGGGATGGACACACAGGTGACTACGTTCCCAGCCCTCCCGAAGTAGGCAGGCTATGTGACTAGCATTCTGGATAATGAACTATTAGAGGAAATAATGTTTTAAAAGCCCTTGCGTGACTTTCCAGCTTCTCTTCCCCCTTGCTACAGCAGTTGTTAGCATTCCAGGTGATGGAGTCGTCGTCAGCCTGGGTCTCCGGGTGAATAAATGGAGCAAAACCCTTTCTCCATCCACATTTCCCACAGACTCAAGAACAGGGATAAATCTTTCTATGGCAAGCCACCAAAATTTGGTAATTGTTAGCACAGCATAAGCCTAAGCTATCCTGACTACAATGTCTTTGCAATCAAATAACGTGTTCAAAGACTTTTAAATTTATTTCTATTTCTACTGGAGTATATGATAGTTAAAAATTTCCAGCTCTAAGAGCTCTAAACACACTGTTCACTGAGTCCCTTGATCGATAGCCTAATTTCAACAGCCCACATCCACTTTCCAGGGTATAATTTCTGTTACTTGCCTTTTGTACCCTGCAACCAACACACGGAACTCGAGATAAGTGACATCAGACCTGCCCCCTGCCCAGCTCAAAAGGAATATAAGCATGTTGCAGTCAGAAAAAAGGTATGATGGAGATGTGAGAATCACAGTCAACATCCAGACAAGGTTTCCAAGGACAGCACACTGTAGGATCACCATGGTGCAGGATGGTCTTCACCACTGGGAGACCAGAAATTATTTTCCCTGGACTCTAAGCAGGTTTTCAGGGACCAACTTATACTAACCAGACTCATATACCAAAGACCAATATATAAACCAGGTATCATTTTATTTTTTCACAATGGGAATTCATTTTTTTTCCAGTTGTATGAATATTCATGAACATAATCCAGGATGATTCTTTACCAGAGCAAATCAGGGAAGAAAGAACACAAAAAGGAAGACTGACAGATGGATATTTGGAGGCTGACCATCTTGGGGGTCATTCCATCCAGACCACCAAAGTAGGTCTTAAGAAATCATTGAAAAGTTTGAATTCTCTCTTTCTCCTCCCTCCACCCCACACACCTCATGATATTGGATAAATACTAACAAATCTTGCTTTTAAGTTCCTGAATTCTCGTCAAACAAGGTTTAATAAAACTGACTGGATCTTAGTTGTCTTTGGGCCTATAATTGTTCAACCTTGATTGGCTCAGTCAATCATTTAGAAGAAATATCTTAACCATTTCAATAGGTGGCCGCTTCCATCTTGTTCTAATTTGGGGAGTGCCTGTCAATCTCATGTATCAAACAATCAGAACTGAGTCTTGGGTCTCAACAACAGAAATGCCTTGATAAAACTACCGCAGGGGTTGGAAAACGATAGCCTGGGAGCCAAATCCAGCCTGCCAGGATCCCTGGGTGGCGCAGTGGTTTAGTGCCTGCCTTTGGCCCGGGGCGCGATCCTGGAGACCCAGGATCGAATCCCACATCAGGCTCCCGGTGCATGGAGCCTGCTTCTCCCTCTGCCTGTGTCTCTGCTTCTCTCTCTCTGTGACTATCATTAAAAAAAAAAAAAATTCAAATCCAGCCTGCCACCTGTTAGTGTAAATAACATTTTATTGGAACACACCTGTGCCCATCAACTTATATATTGTCTATGGCTGCTTTCACATTCCATCAGAGGAGCTGAGTCAGTGACAGAGCCTAAAATATTTACTATCTGGTTTTCTTTACGGCATATATGGTTGTTGACCCGTGATGTAGCCAGTGGTTTTGTCAACTTCCAACCAAACAATTTCTCTTTTTAATGGCTATGGTCCATAAGTTATAGTCAGATGCACCCTCCAGATGATGGGCAGAAAATATCCATATATTTAAACTCCATGCTCATGTGTACTGGTGGTCTTATGGTTCTTATGGCTTTCAATGATTTGAAAAAAAATCCATTTCCATAGTGGAGCTGCTATAGATCACATTGCAGAGATCAACACTGAAGGAAGATCCTCAACCTGGTCAGGAAGTTATCAAAGACTTAGACCCTCCAAGAAAAATCCATCACCACCCTCTATAAGTTATTCAACTCTTTGGGCTTCAGTTTTTTCATCTGTAAAATCAAGTAGTTCAGCCTCCATAATGGGTTGTTGTAAGGATCAAATGAGAGAAAACAGAACCATATGTTGTCAGGTCTTTGTAAATATGAGAGGGAGTACAGTAACTTTAGAAATCACTGTATTGGGGCATGTGAGCAGCTCAGCCGGTTGAGCATCCGACTCTTGGTTTTGACTCAGGTCATGACCTCAGGGTCCTGGGATTGGGCCCGAGTCAGTCTCCACACTCAGCACAGAGTCTGCTTGTCCTCCTCTCTCTGCCTCTCATAAATTATAATCTTAAAAAAAAAAGAAATCACCACATCACACTGTTTCCTATCTGGCAAATGTTCAACACGATATGGGTCTGTTGGTTGATACCAGCAAAATTGTTTCCTTGACGTCCCTGAATTTCCTTAGTTGGTATCTAAAGGCCCTGGCACCAAACACTCTGGAGGAGCTCAGTCCTGCAGACAAGACATGACACTGACCCTGTTGTTGGGAACATTTACCTTTGCTTGTGCGCAGAGACGATATCTCAGCGGCTTCCCAGTGTTAAGCAAACTGAGCAAGAATCCCACTTTGAGGTGGCTTCCTGAATAACTGGGAAGGCCCTGAGACACCCTCAGGAACCCAGCTAAGTTTCAGTCAAATTACAAAGGCCACTCTCTGAGGACAAATGAGCTGTGTGCCCTACAGCATTGAGTGTACGGTGCCACCCACCATGGAGGGCATCTCAGATTCCTCCAGCCTGACATTCTGAGATGAAACAAGCAGGAGTCTCCTGGGCATCATCCAAACCTCTAGAATTTATTGAAAATCAAATGATTATCGAGGCAGAGCAGCATCCAGAGAAAAAACATTGGGAATCCCTAAGTGTATACAATGAAGGCAGAGAGTGTATCTCTGTGTGTGTCTGTACAAATGTGGCTCATGCACAAGCAGAGGTGTGGGTGTCTATGAATTAACATAAATGTGATCAAGATGCAGGAGAGGGGAGCGGCAGGGACCATCAATTCTGGAACCAATTGCCTGGTCCAGAGTCCACAACTACCACTTCCTAGCTGTGTACCTCAGGGGCGGGGTAGATCAGATCACTGCTCAGCAGACTCTTTCCTGCCCCATCATCAGCTCCCTGGGAGAACTGTCCTCTGCTGCTCTGTGAGAGTTGGGTTAGGCCATGGGACCTGCTTTGGCCCACAGAACACGGGCAGCCATGGCGGCGTGCTGGTTCTAGAGCCAAGAACTTAAGAGATGTTGCATGTTTTTTTTTAAAAAAAAAAAAAAAAAAAACGGAAGCCTGCTTTTATTGATGCACACATTGACGGACTTGCGATTGGAAGGGGCGGTGACGTTAACATGACACTGGTGGTTAACGCAACAGAAACATGAGGACAGGAGATGGCTTTGCAGGGACATGACGCCTTCATAAGTTAGGGAAACGGACTGCTAGCTGGCTGCCCTTTCATTTCATGTTCTTCACAAACTCCTCTCCCTTTTTGATGGAGGCCTTCAGCTCGGGGATGGCTTCTGCTATCATCTTCTCTTCAAAAGGGGAGATCTTGCCAATGCCTAGATTCTTCTCGATGCCCTTTTTCCCCAGCAGTAATGGTGTGGAGAAATAGGCACAGTCTGCTTCCTGGGATTTAACAAAGGAACATTCGACAACTCCTTCCTTCCCATTCATTGCATCCACAAGGGAGAAGACAAACCGAGCTCCAGCGTATGCCATGGACAGGGTGGCAGAGCCTGCTCCAGCTTTGGCCTTCACCACCTCCGTGCCGGCCTCCTGAATCCGCCCAGTGATGGCTGTCAGCTGGTCCTGGGGAAGGTCCACCTTGGGAGTGCACTGAGAGATCAGGGGGATGATGGTCTTCCCAGCATGACTGCCAATGACAGGAACATTGACTCGCGCGGGATCCAAACCCTTTAGTTCTGCAATGAAAGTGTTGGCCCTGACAATGTCCAGGGTCGTCACCCCGAAGATTTTATTGGGGTCGTAAGCTCCGTGTTTCTTGAAAACCTCCGTTGCAATTGGGATGGTGGAGTTGACCGGATTTGAAATGACGCAGATCATGGCCTCAGGGCAATGCTGGGCGCAGGCAGCAGTCAGGGTGGCCACAATTGAGGCATTGGTGTTGAACAGGTCATCCCGTGTCATGCCTGGTTTTCTTGGGACTCCGACTGGAATAACCACCACATCGCAGCCTTTGAGGCAATCCGGTAGCTGCTCAGGTCCGAGGTAGCCTTTCACGGTTGCTCTGGTCTCGATGTGGCTCAGATCTGCGGCCACTCCGGGTGTATGAGCAATATCGTAGAGGGTCAGGCGGCTCACTAAGGGGCTGTTCTTGAGAAGCAGTGCAAGGGGCTGCCCAATTCCTCCGGAAGCCCCAAGCACAGCTACTTTAGCATTGTTCTGGGCCGAGGTGCTGAAGCTGCGGCGGAGAGCAGCGCCGGCAGGGCAGGCGAGGGCAGAGAGCATGGTTGGTTGGAGCGGGCAGGGAGCCGAAGAGCAGGCGCAGGAGCCGGCGGCTGGCAGGTGACACCAACGACCTCCACACTCGATGTTGCATGTTTTTGCTCATTTCTCTGATATCATCCAAGCCCTCCAAGGAAGAAGTCTGCTCCAAGTCGCCACTGACGCTCCATCCTGGGCCCTGCAGAGAACTCACGGAGCAGAGCCGCCCCGGTCAAGCTGCAGACCTGTAGGTTGTGTGAAAATAAGTGCTCGCTGCTGCACACCACCAACATCTTGCTTTTAGTGGTTACACAGAAAAAAAAAAAATGACTGATACAGGCGAGTTGGTCAATCCCCCTGTTTCTTCTCCAGGAAAATGGGGAGAACACGTAGGGCCTGCTGCAAAGGGCTGTGATGAGAATTAATGAGGTCGATGCCTATAAAGCCCCGAGGACACTGGCGGGCACACTGTAAGGGCTTAGTGAGCATTGGCTGCTGCTGCGGTGGGCCGCGCGTGCGGAGGCAGGTCCCCGCGGCCAGGACCCCGTGGCGTGGCCCCAGGTCGAGTCAGCGGGTGGGCCGAGCAGGTGTGTGGCCCGGGCGCCCTCAGCACAGGTACTCGTTGATCCGCCTGCCGCCGCGGGCGCCCACCACCTGCGAGTCCAGGCTGGGCCGCGCGGAGAGGAGCCCGGCAGCCTCGCTGAGGCTGTGCTGGGACAGCTCCTCGGAGCCGTCGTCGCTGTGGCCCAGCCTGTCCAGGTTGACGTAGGCCCCGGCCTCCGCGGGGCCCCCCGGGGGACACCTGCGGCAGCGCCGCCGCGCGGCCCCACAGCACACGAGCAGGGTGAGGGGCAGGGCGATGACCACAGCCACGCTGATCACCACCACGTTGATGAGGCGCTGGGTGGCCTCGGCGTCCACCACCTCGTCCGTGGAGAAGATGACACACTGCTCCTTCTGGGGCACCAGCTCCCGCACGCAGACACACGCCACGTACTTGGTCTTGGGCACAAGCCCGTGGATGGTGACGCGGGTCTTCCCGGGCTGCACGGCCACCCGCCGCATGTCGCGCTGCCCAAAGACGGCGTAGAGGACACTGAAGGTGGTGGTGTTCCCGGCCTGCGGCGCCTTCCACACCAGCGTCGCGCTCTGGTAAGTGTCCCCCACCACCTTGAGGGACCTGAGTATCCGGGCCCCCTGGTGCCCCGGGGCCCCCGCCTGCACCTGCTGCAGGCCCAGCTCCTCCTCGGCGTCGGGCCCAGGGGGTGCAGTGGCCGGGCCGCCAGGCGCGGGGCCGTCGGGGACATGCCGGGCCACCACCCTGTTGTAGGCGGCAGCTTCTGGAAGCCCACCGCGCTCCGTGGAAGCCAGGGGCTCCGTGATGGCCAGGGAGATGACGGTCTCCGAGACTCCCAGGAAGTTCTTGGCCTGGCAGATGTAGTCCCCAGAGTCACGGGGGGACACGGCAGGCAGGCCCAGCAGCGTCCAGCTGGCACCGTCACCGGACACCTCCTGGTGCACTGGGGGGACAGAGGCCAGTGAGTGGGCCTGGCGGCCAGGCTTCCCTCCTGGGCGGCAGGCACTCAGGGCTGCACGGGGGCCCCGCCGTCCCGGGAAAACCCTGGGAGTTATTCAGCTTTTCTTAGACGAGCCAAGGGGCTCAAGATCCCCTGGGCTCGCATTAGGGGGACCCAGGCTCCAGCTAAGTCTAAGGGCGACCTGCCTTCTAAATCTGGGGTGCTCAAGCCATGTTCATCAGGCCCCGGAGTCCTACAGAACGGCCTCAGGGCAGCAGGCAGCTCGAGGGTAAGGGGGTCGGTCTGGATGCGAGGCTTTGCCACCCCGAGCATTTTCAACCTGGTTTTATGTAACGGAGCTCCTCATACAGCTTTGTAAACTGATTCCAGACCCCGGTCTTTGAGCAACACTCGCTGACCCAGCTGAAGGAGAACCTCCAAGCAAGTGGGGCGGGTCACGGGGTTTTCCGGTCAGGGTCAGGTGCTAAGGAACTACTCCTCCTGACCCCCCCTTCCGCACACAGCTGGGCCGTGGCTCCTGCAAACCCCCCCCCCCGGGCCAGAGACGAACCGTCTCCGTCTACACAGCACAAAGACCACCGGCTGCGTGCCGGGAGCCAAGCACTTAGCCTCTCGGGGTCTGTTTACTTATAGGACAGGGATAATCAAGTTGTCTTTTAAGTTCGGTGACTCCGTGTGCACCAAGGAGCCCAGTAGGTGGTAACACACATGATTATGACTCCTGGTGGCTTCACAACCACAACTGGGAAACTCACTCTAAATATTACTTCTACTAGGAGCACCCCCGCCCCAAACGGCAGCATGTTGTTCCTCCCAGGGTGGGGGAACTGGCGTCCCAGGGTGACAGAGGGGCTCCCAGGCTCCTGTAGGACAGGTTCAGAGCCACTGTCCCCAGACCACCCCTGACCCGCCCAGTCTGCACAGTCCCCGGAGCTCACACACCTGTGCCGTTGAGCGGGTGCCCGTTGGCTCTCCTCCAGCTCATCTCTGGCCCAGGGACGCCGGTGGCCCCACAGCGCAGCAATACTGCACTGCCCAGAGGGGACCTGACGCTGGCCACCCCTGGACGGAGCTCTGGACTCTGGCACTTTCTCAGCTCCAGCTGGCTGAAGGCCACTCCAGCCAGGCTTTGCGGGCTGGCACACTTTAGCCTGGCCTCTATGAAGGCCAGATTCGGGGCCCAGCTTTCCAGGAAAAGGGCCAGGTCGTAGAGGCGGCAGTCGCAGGCCCAGGGGTTGTCCTGCAGGCCTGCGGGGAGGAGAAGGGAGGCCGGCGGTGAGCCCCTGATCTCCACATCCACTCGCGCCCAGCTCCTCTTCCCCCTCAGGGAGGGCTCGGCATGTCCTGAGCTCAGGGTCAGTGGGACTGGCCTCCAGGTGCAGCTCCTTGCCTCGGTAGCCATGGAACCTGAAGCCTGTGCTTAATCTTGAACGCACGAATCAATGGCGTGTGACTTATTTATATACACGTATCTGATATATTTGGGAGGGGAAGCGTCAGGGGTTGAGGGGGCCACATCCACCTGCTTGTACATCTGTGAGTCTCAGGCCCTTCTGCGCACTAGCTGCGGGGACGCTGGGTCCCTCTCCCGCCATCCTCCCCCCATCCCTCTGCTAGCTGCATTTAACCACTGGCACAGGGTAGCAGATGCAAACAGCATCTCAGGTTTGCAGGATGATGATACCTCCGCCCCCCAAGAATCATCACGGTGAGCCGGCTGGCCCTTACCTGTTGTAACACAGACCCCCACGAATTACTGCAAACAGCAAAGTTAAATGACAGGGAAACGTTCACCCCTCAGACTGGCTGAAGTTCAGCGTTCCCACTATTTTCATTATTAGCCTTGGGAGGGAAGAGATTTCCGTGTGTCTTCATCACGGCCTATGCCCAGCCCCTAGAACTAGAGTCCACATCGACGGGCAGTCACCTTTCAGAGCGGGGATGCCTGCGTGGCCGGTGTCCCTCCTGCCCTACTCGTGGGGGCCGAGAGCCCGCCCAGCCACTTGGACATCCCCGGACCAATCTTAAAATGTCTAAGTGCGTGCTGCATGGCCTAGGAGTCCCCTTCTCAGGTCCTATCCTAGGGAAACATTTGTCTGCGTGCCTAAGGGTGCACGGTCAGGAATGTTCCCTGCGCCATCCTAGGGGTTGGTAAGATAATGGAAACAATCTAAAGGCTCATTAAAGGGAGAGCGGCTGAATTAGCTGTCGTGTAGCTGTATTCTGGAACATTCTGCAGTAGTTTCTCCAAAATGAGATCAATCCATTTGTAGTAACTTACAGAGATCTCCAAGACGTACTATTGAGTGAAAAAGTCAGTGCTGGTTGATATATACAGCACGGTCTATACAATATGAGATTTTCTATAAAACACAGAAAGAGGGGCGCCTGGGTGGCTCAGCGGTTGGGCGTCTGCCTTCGGCTCGGGGCATGATTCCCAGGGTCCTGGGATCCAGTCTTGCATCAGGCTCCCCACATGGAGCCTGCTTCTCCCTCTGCCTATGTCTCTCATGAATAAATCTATAAAAATCTTTTTGAAAAACTCAGAAATTCTTTCTGTGTGCATATATATATGTGACTGCGAATGCATCCTAAAAGATAGGAAACATGCAAATAAACCTAAGAGTGGCTACCTGTTAGAAGGGGGAGTAGGAACTGGAATCAGAAGAGGGAACAAAAGGATTTTTGGCTTTCTCTGTAATATCTTAAACGTTTACATACATTTATGTGTGAGTCATGTAATTAGAATCAATATTAATTTTCCAGAATGAGTTAATGCCACGTGTCATCCTCGTGGCATGTGCCTTGGGCAGGAAAAGACATCTGGTTCAGCTGGTAAGCCATCGGTTCATTACGAGCAAGAAGGAATCAGAGAGAAGGGTCAGCCAGTATAACTGATTCAACTCTGCTTTGGGAAACTGAGTCTCAGGGAGGGGGCTTCTCCTGGCTGTGTGACCTGGAGGTCTCTTATACTCATTTGCCTTATTTAAAATACTCGTTCAACACCCCTACGCTGGCTGCCTCAAACCCTCGCATGGTTGTTGGAATATGTTATCAGTTCCATATATATATGAGATATGTCATATATATATTTTTTAAAAGGGAACTTAGTTAAATTTTACTTTGGAATCAATAATTTTTCCATCTGAGTTCTCTCCTCTACATTATCCCTTATCAGGCGAGAAAGCCTGCAGGGTGGATGGAGCTGGAATGGGGCTTGCTGTTGTCCCAGGCAACAAGACTTCCAAATATCCCCTCCTCACAGGATCCTCCTGGGCCTTAGGGCACGAGCTGCCCCAAACCATTCTGAGATTGCTCCAACCTGCCCCTGGTGCTGGAGCCCTTCTGAGCCAGGACAGGCCACAGGCACCTCCTACCAGGTCTCTCTTCACTCCTTACCTTCCACCGTCTGCTCGCCCCCCCCCCTGAGGTGCCCACCCCCTCACAGCTGGAGGCCTTGGGCCTTGCCCCCCCCCCCACTGCTTCCTACCATCCCCCAGGGTGTGTTTGTTCATCTGTAAAACAAAGGGCCTTGTGCTTGGGACTATCTGGCCCAGGATGTGGTGAGGGCTGAGTTCTGTGGGGGGACAGGACACTGAGGGAAGCTTCAAGGCCACGCAGAAGCACCTGGCCAGCGCGAGGGTACCAGTTTGCAGGGGGACCAGTTAGCAGGAGCTCAGACCGCCTTCCTTCCATGTATGTGTTGGTGGTGCTCAGAGGAGGCTCTCAAGGGGCTGGGGTGCTCGCATGGTCTGGGCATCCTTGGAAGCTGGGTGCCGGGGTGCAGCGCCTGACCCGGAGATTAGGCCTGCAGTGTGATTGCTGGGGTGCTCACATGCTCTGAACATCTTTGGAAGCCGGGTGCTGGGGTGCAGCACCTGACCCGGAGATTAGGCCTGCAGCGTGATTGCTGGGGTGCTCACATACTCTGGGCATCCTTGGAAGCCGGGTGCCGGGGTGCACCTGACCCGGAGATTAATGCCTGCAGCGTGCTCGCTGGGGAGGCAAGGAAGGCGTGGAGAGGGAGCAGACGTGCAGCTGGGCTGGATGTGGGTGCAGGGAGCCCCGAGGCCTGGGCACTGATTCAGCCCCGCAGGGTCCCGCCAAGTGGCTGCGCCCTGAGGCTCCCCGCCTGGGATGAGCTCTTGGGATGGGGGCCGTGGCCAGAAAGGGTGGGTGGCCTTGGGCAAGGCTGCCCTGCAGGGGGAGATTGGGGTGGGGGGCCCGGGGGGACTGCGACGGGGGGGGGGGTGGGGGGGGGCACGGCCCGTGCCTGCCGCGGTGTCCCTCTGCGCCGAGCATCACCTCTGCACCCGACTGCCAACTTCGGAGGCAGAGAGCATCGCCCCGGCTTCCCGGGCGCGGGGCAGGCGCGACCCCCTGGCCCCCCTTGACCCCCTGACCCCCCCCCCCGGCCGGGCCGCCCCGCCCTTACCGAGCACCCGCGAGGCGCGCTGGCCGGCCGGGAAGGGCCTGGCCCAGGCGGCCAGCAGCTCGGGCGGCAGCCTCAGCAGCCGGTTGCTGGACAGGTCGAGGAAGGTGAGGTTGCGCAGGAAGCGCGCGGCGTCGGCGGGCACGGCGGCCAGCAGGTTGGCCTGCAGGTCGAGCAGCCGCAGGCGGGGGGCGTCGGCGAGCGCGGCCCAGGGGAAGGCGGCCAGGCGGTTCCCGGGCAGCCGCAGCTCGCGCAGGCGCCGCAGGCCGCGCAGCATCAGGCCGCTGAGCTCGGCCAGCGCGTTGTAGGGCAGCCACAGCTGCTCCAGGCGGCCCAGCGGCCCCAAGGCCCCCGCCACGCGGCGCACCGACGTCCGCTCCAGGCGCAGGCGGCTCGTGTCGGCGGGCACGGACGCGGGCGGCAGGGTCATGTCGGGGTCGCTGCACACCACCGTCCTGGCGGGGAAACGGGGGGCGGGGGGTGGAGACGGTCCCGAGGGCCCCCCGCACCCCCACCCCCACCCCCCACGGGCACCCAGCCCCCGAACCGGGCTCCCAGCTGCACTTGCTTCCAGAGCCTCCCCGGGGGGCGGGGGGGATGGAGACGGTCCCGAGGGCCCCCCCACCCTACCCCCCCCCCCCCCTCCCCGGCCTCCCCGGACTCTGAGCTGCGAGCCAAGGGGCAGGAGGGGGCATCCGACAGCCCAGCCGCCCTACTGCCCTTGAAGGGGCTGGGGCGGCTCTTGCTGCCAGAGCCTGGGGGGGGGGCTGGAGATGGTCCCCAGAGCCCCCCACCCCGATCTACCCTCCCCATCCCCCCCGACCCGGAGCACCCAGCCTCCGAACCAGGCTCTGAGCTGCTCTTGCTCCCAGAGCCCCCCGGGGGCGGGGGAGGGGATGGAGACGGTCCCGAGGGCCCCCCCAGCACCCCCCCACAGACACCCAGCCCCCGAACCCAGAGCCTCCCCGGGGAGGGGGGGATGGAGACGGTCCCGAGGGCCCCCCACCCCGATCTACCCCCCCACCCCCACCCCTGGACTCTGAGCTGCTCTTGCTCCCAGAGCCAACCCGGGGGCGGGGCGGGGCATGGAGACGGTCCCGAGGGCTCCCCCACCCCATCCCCCCTCCTCTCCCGGCCAGCTCCAAGCTGCGGGCCAAGGGGCGGGAAGGGGCATCTGACAGCAGCCCTACTGCCCTTGCAGGGGCAGGGCTGCTCTTGCTCCCAGAGCCTTCCGGAGGGGGGTTTGGGGGGGTGGTGCTGCAGACGGTCCCGAGGGCCCCCCACACCTCCACCCCCCCACACACCTACCCCCGGAGAACCCGGCCTCCAAACCGGGCTCCAAGATCCTCCTGCTCCCAGAGCCTTGGGGGGGGGGGCCTAGAGGCAGTCCCGAGGCCCCCACCCCCCACCCGCCGGGGCATCAAGCCTCGAACACAGGCTCCAAGCTGCTCTTGCTCCCAGAGCCTTCCTGGGGGGGCCCAAGGGGCCCTGGTCTGGTCACTGGCCCGGGGACCTCCCGCTAACCTGTCCCTGCGCACCCACCAGCTGCCAGGCTGCAGAGTGGACAGGCAGGGCGAGCCCACTTCACCTGGGCTGCTGCAGCCTTGAGGGCAGCCCGTGTCACGCTGGGCCTCAGGCCCTGTGACCGCTTTGGCTCTCCTTCATCAAAAAGATCTAAGTCCACTGAGGGGGACACTTGACGGGATGAGCACTGGGTGTTATTCTGTATGTTGGTAAATTGAACACCAATAAAAAATTAATTTATAAAACAAACAAAAAAAAAAGATCTAAGTCAGGGCAGCCCCGGGGGCTCAACAGTTCAGCACTGCCTTCAGCCCAGGGCGTGACCCCAGGGTGCCAGGATCGAGTCCCCATCGGGCTCCCTGCATGGAGCCTGCTTCTCCCTCTGCCTGTGTCTCTGCCTCTCTCTCTCTCTCTCTCTGTCTCTCATGAATAAATAAATTTAAAAATCTTTAAAAAAAAACCGATCTGAGTACTGATTCAAACCTCTCTCTGACTGTCTCAGTGGGGACCCGCCGTCAGGGAGCCTCAGGGACCACGAGGCGGGCCCGGACCTTGCGGGCCTGCGGCTGGACTCCCATCCGGGCGCCCTACTTGCTGGCCGCGGGTCCCTGAGCACCTTACACAGCCACTTCCTCTGTTTCCAGGAACAGACTCCATCCACCCTTGCAGGGGGGGTTCGGGGTGTAAACGAGCTCCTGGAACCAACCAGCTCTGCGTGGGTCACCTGCAGGGGTGCCACGCTCTGCGAGGACGACTCTCAAAAACTTTGGCGATCAGGCCCCGCAAGCTGCTGGCCATGATCCCTCTGCCCAGACAGCGACTTCCTAAGCCCTGATCTATTAACTTCGACAGGAAAGCAGAGGATGGATTGAGAGGAAAGGAAGCAGCCCTTGCTCTCCGGGAGCCTACGAATCAGGGCTGTGCTGGGGGCTGTCACCCAGAGCAGCACAGTCACGTCAGGTACACAGGGCAAGAGCCTCCAAGACGTGAAACTTGAGGCTGGATATGAGGCACGGTGACCCCCACCCACCCACACTCTTGAGATGTGCATGGTCCCCCTACTGAGCGATGGGTGCTGTAGAGTCACGAGAACGTCATAGTCACAGCCCCTGTCCCCTCACAGCTTATTGTCAAGCTAAGGAGGAAAGAGCGTGATATTTTCAATGAGAATGAAGGTTTGGATGTCGCAGAGAGGAAGGTCTGGATGGGGGAGGGAGGAAGGCAGTCGAGGGGAAACCACGTCCAGAAAGGCGGAAAAAATCATCAAGGGAGGGACCAAAGAAACCACTGAGGAGCCAGCACATCTGGCGGGGCAAACAGCATAAAGGACATGGGGACACCTGTGTCCAGGTGCCCAGACTGGGCCGCCCAAGGAAACCACAGTACCCACAGGTACACACACCGTATCCATGACGCGGAAGCACGGAGTACAGGCAGGTCCCTCAGGCGCTCAGGTGTAGGGACCGCCCCTCTGACCCGTGCTGGTTGGAGGTGGGCTGAGGGAGGCATCTAAGATGCAGGAGAGCCTCTGTCTGACCACGCTATCCTCCTGGGGCCCCTGGGACCTCGGGGCCTCCTATAGGCGTTGTCGCCCTCAGAGGATGCGCCCTGCAGACGTGCGGGTGCAGGTGAGCCGAGAGACTGTCAGGTGGAGGGAGGGGAACTGATGTCAGGGCTCTGCCTTCAGAGGAGGGATGGCCACCAGCCGACATTCAGGGCCCTGGAAAGTGACCTTGGAATTTTATTTTCTATCCTAAGGCTAACCTGGGGAGCTCGCCCCGCATCCCTGCCCATGACAGCATCACTGACGAGATCTGGAGATGGAGCTGAAGCCCTGGGTTCCAAGACCAGGTCACCGATGCTGCGTGACTTTGAGCCCTGGGCTTTCTCTGGGGAGCTGGAGAGGCTCTTTATCACCCTGGTCACACTGTCTTGGCCACAGGCGGTCTCCTGGCCTGCTCAGGGCTCAGCCCTGGCTTTCATTGGGGGGAAAGATCCTTAAGTCTGATGATCCATATGAGTTGGAGCATCAGAGACTTGAGTCAAGAATGGACCACATGGGGTATCCTTTCCTGGACGTGCCTCTCCGTTCTCTCCATCCCCTCTCACCCTAATTGACCCAACGCCCATGGCCAGGATCGTTGTAAGAGTCACACTGGTACCTTGCTGCCCTGATCAGAAACCATCAGTGGCTCCCAGCACCCATCTGAGATGAGGGAGAAAGAGAGAATGGAACTCCAAAATGTTGAAAAGATGGTAGGAAAGATGGCTCTGGCTCCTGAGCCAGGACCTAGAATCCCTGAGCAAGTCAGGAAACGCAAATAAATGGTCATTCGTGGATAAGTTGAAGACGTCAGAGAAAAGATGGTCTGGACACTGCCAGAGAGAAAAAGGAGAGTGAGCGACGGCAGAAGAGCAAGAGTCTACAACTCACAGTGGCTTTGGAGAGTCCCAAAGGAAGGAGAGGAGAGGATGGAGGTGCTCTCGGGGCTCAGGTGGGGCTTGGGGAAGTGAAAGAAAAGGCCGAGGATGGAGGGGTGCTTACATGCAATGGAATGGGCACGCCTGGTCTTTCAGAGAGCACATCGAACTGGGTGCAGGCCAAGGCTTCCCGGCTTGGGCCAGAGGAGCCCCAAAGCTGGGGAAGCGTGAGGAGGCAGGGGGCTGCATGATGGGTGGGGAGGTAGGAAATACCTGGGGTGCGGTTGTGTACCCCCAGGAGGTGAGGCAAGAGAATGAAAGAGGCCTGGGGAGAGGCAGGGAGGATGGTGGAGTAGAAAGGAGGGAGAAGAGAAGAAAGAGGAAAGGGGGAGGCTTCCCCTGCCCTTCAGAGGGTTCCTCTCCCCCAGGATCCTGGAAGAGGACTCAGGACAGAGTCCCTGGAGGGCACACTCTTGCCCCATCCCCACCCCCATGAGTGAAGGGACTTGGTACTTCCAGCACCCTGCTGGCTGGAAGACAACACAGAGCAGACTAGCGCCCTAGGATACCTGGGTCCCCAGGGCCGGAAGATGGAGGTCTCACCCCCTGCGTCCAGCCATCCCGACCCAGCCCAGCAGGGACAGGCGTGGGCTACCCATCCCACACCCCTGGTGCCATACCTGGCCTTGCTGCCATCACCCAGGACATGGAGGCTGCAGCTGCATTGAGAGGGGCAGGAGCCCTGGGCGTGGGGGTGCCCCCAGAGGGCCAGGAGCCAGAGCATGCCCACTGCCACCCTCATGGCCCCTGGCTCCCCTATAGCCCAGGCAGGGCCCTGTCCCCGGACTGCTCTTTTGTCCCAGCCCAGGAAGCCCAGCAGCTGCCCACTGGCTCATCAGCACTCCTACCCCCCCCTCCTGAGGCCATCGGATAAACAGGGACAGACCGGGGATTAGGAGGGAGCCCTGGCCACAGCACTCAGCGGCTTACTGCTCCTGGCATACCCAGTCCGGAGGGTGAGGGCGGGGGACCCTCTTCCGTGGCAACAGCCCCAGGCCTGGAGGGGCCGGGGAGCGGCAAGGTGGGGCAGACGGGCAGCCACCTGGGGGGCAAGTGGCTCCCGAACTGGCCAGCTTGGCTGTTCGCCTGCGAAGTACCTCCGTGCAGCCAGGCGGGGGCTACACAGACCTGCTGGGGTGCCTGGACTCAGAGAAGATGAAGACAGTCCTGGCCATTGGAAATTCTCTCCTGGGAGAGTTTGATCGGGAAAAAAAATGAAATGAAGGCCATCAAAACATTAGAAAAAGCCCAAGTGCAAGGGCCAGGGTTCAAATCCCAGCTCTTCCATTTCCAGGCCGTGACCTTGCACAGTCTCTTCTTCATCTGGAAAAGGGACGTGTGTGGGACTTACTCAGTGTGTTTGAGTAAGGGATGGACAAGGCTAGGTGGGGAGAGATGGGAGGGGGCCATGGAGTCAGAACCACAGAAAGTCCCCCAAATGCTGAGATGTAAGGAAACCAGAGATCAGGGAACAGCTCAGACCACCCTGACCTACGTAGGGGTGGAGGAGACACTTTTTTTTATGAGAGTCACCTGTGACCTACAAAGAATGATCAGACCCAAAGGGGAATCATTACAGATGGCATCACCAGCCCTTATTCTATTTTTTTTAAGCTTGATCTAATTCTCTTTTATTAAAAGGATTCAATGGGGGCACGCGGGGGGCTCAGTAAGTTAAGCATCTGATTTTGACTAAGGTCATGATCCCAGGGTCCTGGGATGGAGCCCTACATTGGGCTCCCTGCTCTGCAAGAAGTCTGCTTGAGGATTCGCTCTCTCCCTCTCTGTTTGTCTCTCCCCCTGCCCATGCTCTCTAATAAATAAAATCTTAAAAAAAAAAAGTCAATGTTTCTGCCATTAGCTGCTCCAAAATAATACTAGGAAAGCATCTTATTAGTTTTATATATCTTAAGAGGTGCTCTAGACTAGCATAAACATTTGGTGATAGGACGATGGAATAAACGTAGAATTATGTATAGAATACAAATAAAAGTTTATTGTACAAAATTGAGGCCTTCCTATTTCATAGCTCAATAAGGCTAAAGAAAAACTAAGTTATTTTTTTAAATTCACAAACATTTCTTTCACTCACCCACATCCCAACTATTAAAATGGCCTGACCAAATGTTATCAAAACAAACACTTTAAATAACACCAAGTCCTTGAAAGACAACTATGCCATATGTTATTTTTTGGCATATGTGATCTTCATGGCATGGGACGGTGTGATTTTAAGTCCCTGTAAAGCATCCCCGGCAGCTCCAGCCTGTCCATCATTTTCAAATTCAACAAAAGCAATGTCATGCCTTCCGGGTACCAAACGTACTTCTTTGAAGCCCGGAAACTGATTAAACAGCATAGACAACATCATCTCATTAGTCTCTTCTGGTAAATTGTTGAGGAATAAAATATAGTTTGGAGGGTAATCAGGGACCTGAGGATTTGGTATTGAATTTCCTTGGGTATTTGCTGCATTTGGTGTTCCCTGACCAGGCTTTTTGTTTGCAGTGGTCGCAGTCTGTTCCACAGTTTTTGCTTTTTTCTTTTCCTTCTTCTTTTCTTTGTCAGCAAAAGTGCCACGCATTTTAGATATTATACCGAATCTGTTTTTGCATACTGGATTCGCCTTGGTTTACCATAAAATGGAAATCCTTGTAACTGTCTCAAGGCATTTGTGGATGAGCCCAGTTCCTTAAAAATAGCAAAGGCTGGCCCCCTCATCTTCATGGTCTTTAAAGCTACAATATCTACCACATGGCCAAACTGAGAAAACAGGGCATATAGGGATCTCTTCAATTCTTCTTTTTTAATTTTGTCATTCATATTGTTAATGTAAATTGTATGATTTGGTCTGATATCCATGTTTGCAGTTAAACTGTTCAAATTGCCTGAGGCCTGCGCTGGCCCCTGACAAACCGAAAACCGGAAACGGAGCCACTCCTTATTCTATTTTTTTAAAAGTTTTATTTATTTATTCATGAGAGACACAGAGAGAGAGAGAGAGAGAGAGAGAGAGAGAGAGAGAGGCAGAGACACAGGCAAAGGGAGAAGCAGGCTCCATGCAGGGAGCCCGACCTGGGACTCGATCCCGGGACCTGGGGATCACGCCCTGAGCTGAAAGCGGATGCTCAACCGCTGAGCCACTGAGGTGTCCCCACCAGTCCTTATTCAAATCAGGACATCCCAAAGACGACAAGGCCACAGGCTCCCTGGTCAGTTTTAAATAAAAAGACTGCCAGTAGGGGCCCAGGCTGGCGACCCTGCCGGGACCTCATCGCTCCGAGAGCCGTCTCTGTCCCCTCACTCAGCAAGCTTTACTCGCTCTCCTTTGTGTGCAAGACTCATTCTTCGACCCCACGAGACAAGAGCCAAGCTCTCCCGAGAGCTGCGTGGTCATGAAGATCAACCACCCCACGTTCCCCAGATCGACGGCCTATGGGGGTACAGGCCCCCTGCTACGTACTAAGGACCCAGTTTCCCGGGTACCTGCAGGCACCTGCTCCCACAGGTACTGGGCAGGTTCAGAGATGGGGGCACCCACGGAGGTGAGTCCCGGGGCCCGCAAGCAGCCACCCCCTGGACGGCCCCCCAGTCTGAGAACTGGCCGGCAGAGCCGATGCCTCGTGGGCGTCGTCATCAGCGCCAAAGGCACGAGGAGTCCCTGCATGAGGGCAGAGAGCACGCTGGTCCTCTGCGGGTCAGGAGCGCAGGAGTCTGTAGAGAAAGCGCTCTCGGCGTTTGCTGCGTGTCCCCTGCCTCCCACCTCACCCCACACCTAGACGTGGACATCACCCTTCACTCGTGCCTTCTTCGCCTGTGACCCCACAGCTCTGCTCTCGGTCCGGCATGCCCTTCCTGGTTCCCTCAGCTTTTCCAGAAGGTTCCTCAGTCCCTCTCACCTGTAGGCCTAGGCAGGCCCAGGCCAGGGAGGCATGACGGGGTACGTCGGGCCCCAGGGCCCGTATGAAATGCCGGGTCTGCTTTGACAATCTTGGCTTCCAGGAAACGTTGGTTTCCTTCTCCTCCTCTCTTCCAGTCCAGCCACTGTGGCTTTCTCGGTGCTTCCCATCCATCCCTTCTCCAGTCCGAACCAACATGTCCGCCTTTTCCTCCTTCTGTTGGGGATGGCGGCTTCCTGCCTCTCTTTGGCCTCACTGAGCTCTACCCTGAGTCCCAGGCCCCGTCCTGCCTTCCCTGCCGTCTCGTAGGCATGAAAAGAACCCTGACGAACGTGTGAACCAGGGATGCGAGATAGAAATTAGGGAAATGCGGTAGCCGGGTCATCAGGAAAGGGCTCCAGGAGGATGTGAGCCATCGGCCCAGCCTTGGGGTGGTCAGGCTTGCCTATGTGGGGACCGGCAGCACGAAAAGCAAAAGGGGAATGAACATTCGTGCAGTAGAGCGAGCCACCTGCCTGGAGCCCAAGGACAGGAGATCAGGCCTTTGTTTCGCTCCATTCACAAATCACTGCGTGACCTCAGGTCAGTTCTTAGCTGCTTTGAGCCAGTTCCCCCACATGAAGTGCAAAGGATGATGGACCCTAATTCACGGAGTTGCTGTAGGAATCATGCTAAGGTCAGGAAGCGCGGTGCCTGGCTCTAAGCAGGGCTTAAACCTGAGCTGCATTGCTCACAGGGCTCTGGGCCTTCGTTTCTTTGTCTAAAAACGAGTGAAATTCCTCTCGGTCAGTGTTCCCGGATGTAACGTGCACTGTCAGCCAGAGTACGACTTCTCATTTATAGGAGCCAAGGCTCCCGGGGGCCACGGGGTCAGCGCCCCAGGCCGTCCCCGTGGCCCACGCTGCTCGCCAAGTCTTGTGCAGGCCCTGGAAGGAGGTGCCCTGCTTGCTAAGGACTGAACAGAGGAGACCCCAGGGGTCCCACTCTGAGGCATGTAGCTGCTCAGTCCCCGGTCCCAGCTGGGATTCATTCGACGACCACGGCTGGCTTCTTCCCCCGATGCTTGTGAGGTCACGCGTGGAAGGGCCTGGCTCCTGCCCAGGCCTCAGGCACAGCTGCGGCTCCAGCCCCGCTCTGCCCCCCACCACCCCCCTTGGTTATGCAACACTCTTCTGACTTGGCTCTGGTCCACACACCGTTTGGATTCTGCGACCTTAATCCTGCCCGATGGGGCTGAAATGAATGAGGAGCCGTTGCATTCCGGCCTCACAAAGGCCGCACTGTCCTGCTGGTGAATGGGCTCCTTCTACTTGGGCCCGAAGCACAGTTCAGGGCCGGGGGCCCCAAGAAGGAGCCCCAGGTCTAGCGTGATCACCTGCGTGTGCCAGCACGTGGGACGGCCCTTTAAAAGGTGGGGCCCGGCTCAGAGAGCGGAGGAGAGCTGGGCCCGCTGGGGAGAAGGGTCCAGCATGGCAGATTCTGGGGCCCTGCCCACCGGCTTCGGGGAGCTGGAGGTGCTGGCTGTGGGGACGGTGCTGCTGGTGGAAGGTGAGCCAGGAAAGCCCTGGGTGGAATGGGGACCAGGGGCCCCCGGATGCAGGCCACAGCTCTGGAGGCGACAAGGAGCCTGACTCCTCCATGCCCGCACCCATGGGGTGCCCAGCGGGTGCACCTGTGGGATGCAGGCTGCAGCTGGGAGCCGAGCAAGAGAGAGAGAGAGAGAGAGAGAGAGAGGCGCCAGTCCCAGGGAGCGAGAGCAAAGGCCATCTGCCCGGAACATGACCATGAACCAGGGTTCAGGCCTTTTCATTCCCTCCAGCTGGGAGAAAGTTTAATTCACTCCCCGGAAATCCCACTAAGAATCCCATGTAAGCTCAGGCCTCTGGGGAGGCTCTGGGGACACGCAGCTCTGTCACCTGCTCTCTGTGTGGTTGCAACCAAGTCAGCCCGGTTCTCTGACCCCAAGCGGGGGCCGGGGGCAGGAAGTGCCTACCTTGATAGACGCTCGGGATTTAACTTCCTTTGCCTCCATCCTGTCCAGCTCCACCCTCCCACCCCTGCCCCCCATCTCCATTCCCCAGCCCTAAGCATTTCCAGTCCAGGGGCTACCTGGCTCCTTGAGGTCCCTGCCTGGGCCCAGAGGTGGGACTGCAGACCTGGTGCTGGGTCAGCCCATGACTGGACTAATAGGGAGCGTGGTCCTTGTTCACAGCAGATCCACAGAAATAGCCCGCTTCGTCAGTCGGGCAAGTGGCCCCGGGGAGGCTGGTGGGGGGGGGCTCAGGACACCATTATCTGGGAGTCCTCCCTCTTTTTTAGGAACCCTTCAACCTAGCATCCCTCTCATCCTCCAACAGGCCTTGAAATCGTATCACTTTAAATCGCTGCACATGCTGTTCCCTTTTTCTAGAATGCTCTTCTCTCCCCTGTCCTCCTAGTGATTAAACACTGGGAGTTGCAAAGGCAGGATCCTTCCCGACTCCTCCCTTTGGACAGGGAGGCCAGGGTTCAGAGAGCAGGAGGAGGGAGGGACCAAGCTGAAGCTCGAGGTCAGGTGTGTGCCACCCGAGGTTGGGCTCTCAAGCTCACTCACCAGCTGCCCGGCAGCTCCAGCTCGCGCCTCGGGCCCACTCCCAGGCCCTCCCTCGGGGCCCCTCTCCCAGGCCCTCCCTCAGGCCCCCCTCCCAGGCCCTCCCTCGGGGCCCCTCTCCCAGGCCCTCCCTCGGGCTGTCATGCGGCCCTCAGGGTGCTGTTTTGGAGCTAAACAGACATGAGTCTGGGCGCCAGCCCGGCTCACCGGCTGTGTGCTTAGGGCAAGTGCAGTAGCCCCTAGAAGCCCGGGTCCCTGCTGTGCGCGGGGAGCACAGCGTCCAGGTGAAGGCCTGCCGGGGATGTCCCCGGAACGTTCTCGGCCCTGTGCCCAGCCTGTGTTAAGTGTCGGCAGCTGTCGGTGAGGGCAATCGTTCCAGCAAGAACCCTGTGGCCACCTACTGGATCCCCCCTTCTTGAGGAAGGAGGAGGCGGGATGTGCGTTCTCCTCGGGCCAGGGTCTCGCCCAGCCAGCCCCTCCTGGCAAAGTGATCGGCACCAGCCAGGTCACTGAGCACGGGGTGGGTTGGGGTGCAGCTTGCTGAGGCCCCAGGCCCTGCTGCGGCCCCCGGTGGCCTCTCCAGCCCTGACGCCAGCCTCTCCCTTCCTTCCAGCTCTCACTGGCCTCTGCCTCAATGGTCTCACCATCCTCTCTTTCTGCAAGACCCCGGAGCTGCGGACCCCCACCCACCTGCTGGTGCTGAGCCTGGCTGTGGCCGACACTGGGATCAGCCTAAATGCTCTGGTCGCAGCCACATCCAGCCTCCTCCGGTACCAGACACCCCCCTTCCCTGCCCTCAGGGCCTGGCCTGGGGCTTGACCTCTGGGCACCAGGCAGCCAGGCCAGAGTCACGCTTCCCACCTACAGAGCACTGCAGGGCCAGGACGGGCAGGCCGGAGGAGGCTGACCCTCAATCCCAGGCTATCCCGGCAGAGCCTCGGTTCTGGAGCACAGGGGCTGCTCACAGAGCTCGCTGCCCGTGGGGATTCCCAGCGGGAGCCCTGTGGCCAGCCTCGATTGGAGTCCTGGCTTCTGTGTTGCTATCTCTTGACTTCTTCTGGAAGCTGAGTATTACTACCAGACTCACTTATTATTGTTTGGAAATGACTTTAAACCAACACCTGGCACCCAGGAAGCCCACCCAGGATTGTTTGTAAAAGCCAAAGGGATTTTGACAAGTGTCTAAAACCTCCTTACCTGCAAATCAGGATCTTTCTTTATTTTTTTAAAAGATTTTATTTATTTATTCATGAGAGAGAGAGGCAGAGACACAGGCAGAGGGAGAAGCAGGCTCCCTGCATGGAGCCCGATGCAGGACTCGAACCCGGGACCCTGGGGTCACGCCCTGAGCTGAAGGCACATGCTCATCCACTGAGCCCCAGGGGCCCCTAAACCAGGATCTTTCAACACGGTGTCAACCAGATTGTTTTCTGAAGCGCCCTGAAGCGCCCTGAACACTCCTGCCCTGATTCCAGGCACTTGAACGGAGGCTGGAGCCCACCGGAGGGCTCAGGCTCGGGGCTGATGAGTCTGTGGGGCCAGAATCCGTGAGGATTCCTTGCCCTGATCTCCTCCTGCCCCTCGCTGGGTTCGGTGAGGGAGGCAACGGGAGCTTTTATGCCTGCTTGGCCCAAGGGGCTGAGGTTGGGGAGCCCTGGGCCTCCCCTGTGACCTTGCCTCCGTGTGCCCTCTGACCTTGGTTCAGTGCCCCTCCCTCTCCGTCTATAAAGGCACAGGCTTTCCTCCCTGGATGTCTATATCCTGTGCTGGAGGCTTCTGACCACCCAGACACCCCGCGAGGTGCAGCGGAGCTCACAGAGACCAGGGACTCTCCACCCGTTCACCCCCGGGACTGGGCCTCTGGGGCCCCTGTTCCCTGCAGGAAAAGCAGATAATGAAGCCCTGTGTTCTGGGGAGCTGGGCGCACATTCAGGAGGGTGCCTGCCCTCCAGGCTTCTGCGGGGCTGGGGCTGGGGCAGGGGGAGGGCAGGGCCGGACGGCAGTGTCACTGCCCCGTGTCTCCGCAGGCGCTGGCCCTACGGCCCCGATGGCTGCCAGGCCCATGGTTTCCAGGGCTTCGCCACGGCCTTGGCCAGCATCTGCAGCAGCGCGGCCCTGGCCTGGGGGCGCTACCACCACTACTGCACCCGTAAGTCTGGGCGCCAGGGGGAGGCATGTTTACGATGAGCGCAGCAGTCAGTCGGGACAAAGGTCCCCTCAGTGTTTCCCAACCCCAGGGACTGGGTGGACATGAGTGTCCCTAAGCGTGGGGCGTGGGCGCAGGAGGGAGGGAGGCAGCTGCCAGCGCACCTGCTGGGAGGGCCACAGGGGCCCCGACACGGCCTCAGGCAAGACAGGAGTCCTCTCTGAACCTGTGTCTCTTCTAAGAGCGGTTTGTGTGAGCAACCCCCCCCCCCGCTTTGTTCTGAAAGTCAAGTGAGATCATGGGTAGAGCGCAAGCCCCTGCAGACGGGAGCTGTTGGGGGCAGAGAGGCAGCCTGCGCGTGTGTGTGGGGGGGGGGGGGGGGACGTGTCCCTGCACCCACACTCCCGCGGCACCTCCCCCGTGCCAGGCGCCCGGAAGGCCAGGCCAGCCCTGCACTTCCCAAGCTCGCCCTCCCACCCTCGCCTTCATAATTAGCCGGATCACTGGATCACCCACTCCGCTCCGTTAGGGACTTGATTTTTTTTTTTCTTCAAAGGGATTCATTTAAAAAAAATTTAAACACCCGCTCTAGTCTCATCCTAAACAGTGTCACTGAGATCATGGCCTTCGTGTCCCTATGATTGTAGTACGTACGTGCTAGAGTAAAAGCCACGCTCACCCGGCGCTGCCCGGCATCCCACCTGCCGTCGGGGCTGGGTGAACACACTTCGGGGAGCCGGGGCTCGGCGCGCCCTTGTTGCAAACTCCAACACACAGACTGGGAAGCAGAGGCTCGCGGCAGTTACGGAGCTTGCCTAGGGCTGCAGCCGCAGGGACAGTGGGCCCCGGGCAGCCTCCCCGCTGTGCAAGGCCTGGGCCCCGGGCACGCCCAGAAAGTCGCAGGTGCACCCCCGCCCAGGCAAGTCCCACACCCTCGGGGACCAGGACAACCGCCTCTGCCCGTATGGGGTCCAGCAGCCCCGCCCGATGTGACCTTGGCACGCCTCTCCCTGCCACTCCTACCTGCCCGCCCGGTGCTCCGTGCACATGTGCACACACACACAGGCCTGTGCGCTCATACACGCGAGTGTGCCCAGGGCCCGCCTTCTCCACCTCAACGCGCGGCTGCCAGTCCCCGCATCTTGGGCCGAGTCCGTGCAAACAGCGTCAAGATGAGGGAGCCACAGGCCTGGTCCTCTGTGCTGCTCAAACCCCATGCTGAGTCCTGCCCTGTGCCCTGCAGCCGCGCCCACGAAAGAGCAGGACCCGTAAACAGCAGGCGGGCCGGGGAGGAGGGGACACGGATGGGGCCGCTCAGCGTGACCGAGGCCCACCATCCACACCCAGGTGGCCCCAGCTCCGGGTCAACAGTCCTCAGGGGGTGTCCTGGCAGCAGGGACGGTGACCTGTGTCTGAGCAAGGGCTGGGGGCGACGGTGGGTCCCTCCGCAGCCACCCCCCCTGAACCACTGCCCGTGCACCTTCCCCAGGTCGGCTTTGGGAAGTGTGACCGACCTCCTCGTGGCTCCCTGGGCCCTGTCCCCGTCCCCGTCCTCCAAAGCAGGTGGTAGAGAACATCTACTCGGAGACCTTCACCCCCATCATCTCTTATTCTTCACGACAGTCCCCTGGGACAGGGATTTTCATTCCCATTTTGTGGAGGAGAAACTGGGGGTTCGCAGGACCTCATAGCTGGTCCGAAGCGCTAAGCTAGTCGCACCAAAGCCAGGATTCTGGAACGTTCCGTGAGACCATGAGGTCCATTCTGGGGGTGCTCTGCCCAGCCAGCACCTCCTCCTGCCCCCCGCCTTTCTCTCCCACAGGCAGCCAGCTGGCGTGGAACACGGCCATCTCCTTGGTGCTCTGCGTGTGGCTGTCCTCCGTCTTCTGGGCAGCCCTGCCCCTCCTGGGCTGGGGCCGCTATGACTATGAGCCTCTGGGGACGTGCTGCACTCTGGACTACTCCAGGGTGGACAGGTGAGGAGGGAGGAGCGGCTGCACGGCTCCCTCCCTTGGGAATCTTTGCTTTGAATCCTCACGACCCCAGTGTCACAGCAGGAAGTCCGAATGGGGAACCATCAACATTTGCCAATCTCAGCTCCTTGGTCTCCATACCCGCTCGCACGTTGGCAGCGGGAGTTGGGAAAACGCATTCTGAACGCTGGCCAAGCAGCGGGCATGTTATGCAAACTTTGGGGTATACAGTTGTGCCCAAGAAGGGATGTTCCCCAACGAGCTGTTGGCCTGCGCCGGTTACAACAGTCGCCAAGCCCCATGGCCCCTTCGTCCCGGCTCCGACTTGAGCAGCTTCTAAGGGGAGTCGTGTCCCTTGTTCAGGACAGTCCAAGGATGTTAAGGTCTTTGCGTTGGGAGGGACCTCCTTGACTTAGGGTTGAGTTCTCTGAAGCTCCGGAGCATCTGCTTGAGGGGCCGAGCCCTAGGGAGACAAGACTGATGCATGTTGGCACCCACATCATGGAGCCTGTGTCTATACTGCCCCATCCAGTGGCTCTGAGGACACCAGGGCTGAGGGAGACACTTGAGGGGTCATCTTGGGGAGGGGCCACATGGGCTCCAGCCCCCCTCTTGCTTCTGCTTATCTGCTCTTACTCATGAAGCTTCTGGCCCTGATGACAGGCTTTCCAGGGGAAGCCTACTTGAGAGCCCAAGCGGGCACACGTGTCCTCCCAGGGCACCCTCACAGGCATCCTCCCCACCAGCACCCAGGCCTCAGGCAGCCTTTCCCCCTACTCCTCCCTACTGGGCAGCACCAGGATGACGCGCACTTCCCTTCGCAGCATGGGGTTCAGCCATCCTGTGACTCCCACCTGTTCCCAGTTTCCCGTGACACCCGCCCCGGGACCCCAGGTCCTCCCGGGATCCTTCCGATGATTTCTCCAGCGACAGTGTCCACTCAGATCCCTGTGCCAAGGACACTCCTTGAACGATCATCCCTCGAGGTCCGTTGACATAGCCCCCGTTTGGCAAACATGTTTCCCAAAGTGACGCATCCTGTCTTGCACGTGGGGCGCATACAGAAGGCAGCCCTGTGCACCCGCGCTGCCCACCAGGGGCTTGGGGGGGCTCATCCTCGACCCAGCCCTCGGGCTCCTAAAGGCAAGTTCAAGGAGGACCCGATGGCCCCTGTCTCTGCGGGGCGTCTGCCTGGGACCCGGGAGCAGCTCCTCCCAGCAACGGCAGCTGCGCCTCCGGGGACAGCCGACCTGGCCGGGGACGCGGTCCTGACCCTGTTCCCGCCCTGCCCTCAGGAGCTTCACCAGCTACCTCTTCACCATGGCGTTCTTCAACTTCTTCCTGCCTCTCCTCATCACGTTCGTGTCCTATCGGCTCATGGAGCAGAAACTCAAGAAGCCTGGCCACCTCCAGGTGAGGACGCGCTCCCCGAGAGGGAGTCCCTCTGTCCCTGGCAGGGACCACCCAGCATGTGAGAGCTCGTGCCTCGGGGTTTTCCGGGTTTGCGGCGGGGAGCAGAGCTTTCAGCACCCACAGAGCCCGGGGGTCCCCGTTGCCGAGCATCACCAAGCGCTGGGAGGAGGGGGCGGGGCCGCTCAGACTCAGGCACCGGCACTGTCGTCCCTCCCAAGGGTTTCAAGGTTGGCGCGGAACCCCAGGCTTTTCCGATGCTCCTTTTAAGTTGCTCCGGGATGTTTAATTCCATCTCCGGCACGGGCTGCTGTGACCACAGCGTGAAATCGCACCCGCAAGCCCATCCACCCGAGGCAAACCAGACTGCGGAATAAGCCCTTCTGGCTGTTTCTGAGTTTCTGCATTGATAGTCCCTTTCCACGGGTCTCTTGTGTCACCCAGACAATCCCTGGCAGACGAGCCATAAGCGCCAAAGCTTCGATTACAAAAAATCAGGGACTAGTACCATGGTCTGTGCACCTCGCTGGTTCATCTTCGCAACCGCTCTCGGGGTGGGGTGGGGGGGATTGTGATCATGCGATGAGCCCCGAACCCAGGAGTGACAGGCTAGGCTCACACCCACCCAGGCCTGGGGCTGCAGGGGCCACGTGGTCACCGTGCATAAAGAAACAATCTTTGCTGAGACACTTAATTTGCCACATTATTATTTTTTTCCTGTGACTTGGAAAAAGATGGTACAAATCGGGGGGCTGCCGCTGAGGAGCAGCCCTGGGCCCCGGGGAAGTCGTTTCCACAGCCCAGGGTTCCCCGAATAGAGCGCGGGCCAGAGAGGGTGCGCCTCCTCCGCCCCATCCCTGCCTCCAGGTTGGTGGATGTCATCAAGCCATTTTGGCAGACGTGACCCCTGGGACCGGGCAGGCCGACACAACAGGTGCCAGGGAGGCCGCCTGGCCCCGAGCTGCTCGGCGGGCGCAGCACCTTCGCCCACCTGGCCCCTGGGTCCCGACCCCCTTCCGCAGGTGAGCACCACCGTGCCAGCCAGGACGCTGCTGCTCTGCTGGGGCCCCTACGCCCTCCTGTACCTCTACGCCACCATGGCCGATGTGCGCTCCGTCCCCCCGAAGCTGCAGATGGTACGGACACCTCGCCTGCCCGCACTCCCTCCACCTCAGGGCCTCTCGTCTCTCCCATATCTCTCCTGCTCTCTGGGCTCCTGGTGGTCTCTTCCCCTCTCCCTCCGGACACTCAGAGCGCCTTGGCCATCGGCTCGTCTTGGGGGCCACACGGGGCTGCTGCTTGGTATTGCCTGGGCCCCATGTGCCATGACAGGGACAGGGACAGGGGCAGGGACAGCCGGCCAAGGCCGTGACTGCTGCTCGGGACAGAGCGTGCTTCTGCGTCGCCAGCCAACTGGCAGGAGAAGCCTTGGGCGCTGCAGAACCAGCCCCGCGGAGATGCCGGGAGGCTGCGGGGTGGGGGCTCACCAAGGGGGACCAGGGCGGGGGGCCGAGGTGGCGAGGCTTCCTCCCTGAGCCCTTGTGTCATGACAGGTGCCTGCCCTCATTGCCAAAGCAGCACCCACAATCAATGCCATCCACTATGCCCTGGGCAGTGACACGGTCCATGGGGGACTTTGGCAGTGCCTGTCACCGCAGAGGAGCCAGCCGGACCGCGCGCGGTGAGGCTCTCCGCAGGGCTGCTTGGCCCCGGGCCCACGCCTGATGCCCTTCACCAAGCCCTGTGCTCGGATGCTGCCCCAGAGCCCTGCCCGGCAGCCGAGCTCCACACCTGCCCCCCCCCCGCCCCCAGGATGGCCCTGTTTGGCTTGGCCCTGGGTCAGATGCTGGGGACTCAGACAGCACAGGCTGCATGGGAGGACCCGGGACCTTGGAGCCAGACAGACCCGAGGTTCCATCACCCCCTCCAGAGGCTGAGCGGCCTCGGGAAGGTCACTCCCTCTGCACAGGCCTTCCTGACCCGTGACCTAAGGGCTCCCCGGGGCAGCTGTGAGGTCTAAGCGACATGGCGTGTACTCGCCACCCATGCAGAAACTCACGGCAGCAGCTTCTGTGCTCGGGGTCCTACACAGAAAGGGGTGAGAGCCTCGCGTTGTGTGTGGGAGCGCGACCCAGGCTCTCAGCGTTCAAATGCCACGTATTAAATTGAGAGCTGGTGCAAGCGACGGGGCTGTGCATGCGTCTGTCCCTGGCTCATGAGACGTGAGGCAGAAATGGTGACTTCGCCGTGCAGAAGGGACCAGGACGTTACCTGGCACATTAGGTGCTCACTGACACTTAGCCCCCAGCGCCCGTCGGTCAAAGACAGTGAGCTGCATGTTGCTCAGTTGCCAGCATTTAAAAAAAAAAAAAAATCGGTAAAATTTATTTAAAAGTCCAGATGTCTGAAGAGGCCCCAGCAGCCTGCCGGAGGCTCCGTGGTGACTGTTTGTAGGACTCGGGGCAGCTCTCCCCTTTGCCCAGGGCTTGCCCCCTTCCACCAGCTGTGCATGTATAGTCCCTGCAGAGCATCTGTGTTTGTGACAGTGAGGCTGGGTCCCCGTCCCTGGATGCACATCTGTGCTTCCAGCAGAGTCTGCATTTCCGCGATGAGGTGCAGCAGGTGCAGAGGCCCGGGTGGGGCCCGTTACCCTGCAGGGAAATGGGGTGGTTGGCAGGGTGCTGGTGGGCGGGCTCCGCAGGAGGTCTGATGACCAAGAGACAGTGACTGCTCCAGGCACCTTGCATGTGGGAAAGATGAAGGCTCAGGCCCCAGATGCTGAGCGGGGAAGAAACAGGTCCCTGGGGGCAGGGGCAGGGTGGTCATGACATAGCATCTGGGCTCCCTGTTACCAGGACCTGCCTCTCAGCTTTGCGGTTGCAAAAAAATCAGGTCACAGAGATGTAACTGCACGGGAGGCCGGTTCAGTCATTTTGCAAAACCCAGTGGCGTGAACAGGGCCGCAACCTTCCCCACAGCTCTGTCTTCTAGTCTATTCCACGGGCTGGGTGCTGTAGAGACAAGATGCCACCCAACCTCCCTCCAAGGCCTGTCGGGGTCTTAGGTCTTGCAGTGGGAGCTGAGAAGGCAAGTCCTGGGGCCGCATGGCTACAAAGAGAGGGTGTCCAGAGCCCAGAGGTACTGACCCTGCCCCACAGCCGGTGTCCTTAAACTGTCTTTACTGGGGGCCTGCCCTTCACCTGCCACTAGAGACACTAACCCCGGAAGGTGAGACAAGGAAACAGTGAGAAGAGGAGGGAGGTGACCCCCAGACTTGAGAGAAGAGGGGAAGATGAAGAGGCTGAAGATGCCGATCAGGGTAGCCCGTGTCCCCACACAGCCCGTGGGGACTGACCTGTGCCCAGGGGGTTGGGGGGGTGCAGGCAGGCAGGAGGAGGTCACCTCCAGAGCCAACCCTGCAGCCCGAGCCTATGGGGAGGCCGGAGTGGGCTCCAGGCCTGTCCACCCTGGACTGGGGGTAGCAAAGGGGGTGGGGGGACAGGGCCCCGGGAGGGATCGAGGCCGCGGCAGTCGTTGGCTCAGGGACGCCTCTCACTCGAGCGATGGCTTAGGGGGCCGTGTCGGTGGAGCCTCTCCGCCCGGGGTCCGGGCAGCTCAGGGGCTCAGGGCTCCCCACACTGTGTGCAGAGCCTCCCTGCCCATCTGCCACCAGCCGCCAGCACCGGGGAAGGTGGTGGCCGGTCCCCTCTGACGCCCACCTGCAAGCCCGTGGCCCGGGCCTGACCTGGGGGACAGTCAGCACCCGGGACCCCCAGCCCGAAGCTCCTACTTCCTCCTGGGAACATAGTTGGAAAAACAGCAGAAAGTGGTGACTGCGTCTCCCCAACGTCTGTTCCCGGCCCCCCTGCTCCTTGACTTTGGGGAGCCTCCCTCCCCGGCCAGCTCCACCTCGTCCCCCGGGGGGACAGCAGCACCTAGCCGGCTCTCTGTCCCCTTCCACTTATGGGGCCTCCACCAGTAGGGACAGCCCCCGCCCCTCCACAGGGATGCACCAGCCCAACCACTCATCCCCATCACCATCCTGCCAGAGAACCTGGGCCCTGTGGCCACGGAGGGAACGGGGTGACCAGACCCCACACCCCCATCCCACCCGTTGCAGAGGAGGAGATACAGCCCCCAGGTCCCGTCCAGTCCAGGCCTCCTCATCTCTTCCTGGCTTTTGTGAGTAAAAACCATATCACGTGGCTCAGAAGTGGAAAGTAGGGACCAAGGTCAGGCTGTGGCCTCGCAGGGGAGGAGGGGCTGTCTGCGTGACCCAGGGGTGCCCTGTGGGACCTCTGCGAGTCCCTACCTCGAAACTCCGCTCTTTCCCTCGTTCTAGGTAGGTCAGACGTGCCCTGGGGCTTCTCTGTAAGCCCGGCTTGGTCACAGAGGTCAACAGAATTGTCCCCCGCGACTGCAGCGTGTGGGGTCCTGCACCCCTTCTGGATTTCCCTCAAAGCCTCTGTGGCCTGACCTGGTAACCCGGACACCTCTGTTTTATTTATTTATTTATTTATTTATTTATTTATTTATTTATTTATTTATTTAAATTATTTATTTTATTTATTTATTTAGTTTTTACGCCTCCATTGTTTTAAAAATGTAACCTGTGGGGGGCCGGAGCCCAGGGTGAGGAGGCCCCAGGCCTGCCATCCTCTCTCTGGGTGGCACCAGGTGAACCACAAGCCCTCCCTGGCCCATCCCTTCCATCCCAGGGTGAACGGGCTCTGGCAAGGACTCCAGGTTTTCCAGACCCTATTGAAAGTCTAACTCATTTTCAAACGAGGTTCATGTTAAGAATCGAGTATGCTCCTGTACCTCCTACAATTCATCTGTTGAAGCCCTAACGCCCAATGCCACTATGTTCGGAGAGTCATCTTTACAGAAAGGCTCAAGGTTCGGTGAGGTCATGGGGGGTGGTGGTGACCTTACAGGACTAGTGTCTTTGTAAGAAGAGATACCAGAGAGTTCTTGCTCTCTCTCTACTCCCTCCCCTGTGCATATGCCCCAGGGAAAGTCCAGGTGAGGACACGGCGAGGGAGGGGGGTCTGTAGGCCAAGGGGAGAGCTCACAGCAGACGCTCACCCCATGGCACCCGGATCTTGGGCTTGTACCTCCAGGACGATGAGCCAATGCGTCTCTGTTGTTCAAGCTGCCTGGCGGGTGGTGCATGCATGCAGCAGCCCTAGTGGCTGCTGCGGGTCACCCCAAAGCGTATTGTTCAAGACATGACGACAGAAGGTAGGGGGCGTCCAGCTGCGGCCCGGCTCAGCGGCACGTGGGGCACCCACCCACTCTCACCTCTGCAGAGCCTGGAATTGTATGAAGCCCAGTTGAAAAGGCACAAAACCCATCTTCTTAGATCACCTACCGTCCCCAGGAACACTTATTCCGGAGGTTACTTTTGTAAAGAGACATAAGGACCGTGGAATAGGATCCCCCCGCGCCCCGCCCGCCCCATCTCCTTGCTGCCCTTCGACAACTGAACTTGAACTAAAGTCACTAACAAGATAGCTAATCGTGTCTGAGGCATAGGAATGTACAGTCCCAGGCCTCTGGCGCCCACATCCCCCCTGGGATGGTTTTCCTGGGGCAGGGGAAGGGCTGTGCGCCTGGTTCATCAGCAAAGGTGGAAATAGGAATTAAGTAGAGCCTACACCATGCCCATATTTTTGCTTAAAAGTAAGAGGGTTTTTGCACATTGAGAAGGGGATTGTTGCACATAGAGAAAGAACTTCGGTAGTAAGGTAACGGGCCTAATTTATTGGTATCTTTCTCTTTGCCGCATAATTGATGGGATTTCCATTGCTTTCCCTGCTAGAGATGCTCCCGGTGCAATCTGCTCAAATACAAGCCCACCCTGCAGTCCGTCAAACTGCCCCCAGAATGCTTTTCCCCATCTCGTGAATATCATGACTCTGTCCCAAGGAAGAGAAAATGAGGGGGAAAGCAGAGATTTGAATACTCGCAGGTCAGGACCACGCGGTGCCGGCTTCCCCCGCCAGGTGGCAGTGCCACCTCAGTGATGGCTCCAGCCTGCCCCCGCCCCAGGCCTCGGGAAGAGCCGGGGAGCCCAGGTCCTGCAGGATCCCAGGCAGGCTTCTTGGCTGCTCTGGGTGCAGAAGCCTGATGTCTAGTGTTTTCTACCTCTGAGGATGATGTGACTCTATGTGTCTCCTTGAGAGAAACACAACTGCCCGCCCATCAGCCAGAGGCCTCCCCACGGCCCTACGGAGCTCCCCTGTCTTTGCCTCCAGAACAGTCACTGGAAACCTACCAAATGTAAACCTCCAAAGTCTTCCAGCACATTCCAAGCGCTATGCTCCGAGAGCCAGCCCGAGCCTCAGCGAATGTGCAGGAAATGGCATTTGGTGATGGTGGTGTTTCCACGGTAACGGGCACTGGAAGAGCCTTGGGCGGAGGCCAAATCCTAATCCCTGAATCTTCGCCTCCTCTTGGTGGTGGCAACTTGCTGTTCCCCTCCTAAGCTGTTCCCTGGCCCTGACAGCGCACACCTGTTCTTCCTCCATCCCCCCGGGCCGCTCCCACAATGGCCCGCTGTCTCCCCGCCAGGCGCCCTCAGCCCAGCTGCCCGTCCCTCTGCAGCTGCCCAAGCACACTCAAGGCCTTTGCTTCTTAGGTGAGCGGCAGCAGGGCAGCTCAGAAGGTGCTCAGGTTCGGGTATTGGAGAGACCCGGGCATGACCCCGGGACGTGCCTTTCATTCAGTGTGGACCCCAGTTGGAGCAAGGCCCTTATCTCTGAATTTATTCCATGCCCCACCCCCCCAAAATGAACTCACCGGGGCGGCATAACTTAAAGCACTTGGCACATAGTGGCTGTTCAACAAACACTAGACTCCCTCCATCAGGGACCTTACCGGCTATTTCTTGCTTCCCCCTGAATTTTCCTATTAGTCACTTAAGAAACAGGTATATAGGAAAATCGTGGTGGAGGAGTGACGATTATATGCAGCATCAAATCCACTACCTCAGTTAATTTCCCACACACCCTCAGAGTTCTCACACTTATCTGCACATTTGAATCATCTGGGTCTGGGCGATTCCAAGTGTGGTCTCTGGACCCGAAAACACCACTTTCGCCCAAGTGCTTGTTAGAAAGATAGACTCTCAGGCTCCGCCCCAGACCTCCCGAATCGGGATATGCTTTTTAACAG